TATATATATATATATATATATATATATATATATATATATAAATCAAATTTTATATATATATATATCTTTGTTAAAATGTTATGCCATATTATAAAATATATTTTAATATATTATTATATATGAAAATTATTTGAATACTGTTATTAAATACGGATTTATTTCAGTGTAACACATTTTATTAATTAATCGAATGTGAGAATTAACTAAAAAAAGGTCACATACATGATCTTTACAATACAACATCTTTACAATAAACAAAAGTTCATGAATTTAATTATGTATTTCATAGTGTTATTTAGTTATTATCGATTTAATTTTAGTGAGATAATAAATAATCTACGTTAATACGGATGTTCATTTACCATGCAATAAACTGCTCAGCGAGTTTCCGAGGAAACTAAACTTGACAATTACTTCTACTTTGTGTTCTTGTGAGATCGGAGGAAGTTTTAGAAATGTATAAATCTACAATAGAATTTCTATGTAAGTTTCTATATCGGCATATAAATTATAATCAAAGAAACGAATCTATCTTTATTAAGGTCACAAAGATATTACAAATTAGATTTTAATTTTTAATAAATAATGCTACCGAATGCGTATTTGAAAGCGGGATAGTTTGCCGCATTTGTATGTAGATCGAATGCTCGCATTTTGTGCCTGTCATTATACATTGTACATCGTATGCTAATAATGAAAACTTGATGTTCTTTGAGATCTTAACACTTTGCTACTATTTCGAGAAATTTCTCTGTTTAATGTCCTCAGACAAACGATGAAAGCTGTCATGAAGAAATAATTGAACCAAATGATAAAATCTCTCATATCATATTTTGTCATTATTATTTATTAGTTGTTGATCCCAAGGAAATTATTCATTTATTGCATGGTAAATGAACATTCGTATTAACGTAGATTATTTATTATCTCACTAAAATTAAATCAATAATAACTAAATAACACTATGAAATACAGAATTAAATTCATGAACTTTTGTTTATTGTAAAGATGTTGTATTAAAAAAGTCAGTTTAATAAATATAAGATAAATTTATTTTTGAAATTTGTAAATAATATTTAATATTTGAAAAATTATGAGCTGGTAATCTGTTATAAAAAATATTAGAAGATACTTTTCAAAACATTTAACATACAAATATTACTTTAATAGGTTTTAATCTTTAAAAAAAATTCAACTAAAATTTTAACAGCACAGTTAATTTTATCTTATCTTTAGATTTATAAAAAGAAATAAAAATATCTGAATAATTCAGATATTTATTTCAAAATATGTATAATAAATTAAATTATAGATTTCCTAATCTTCAATAAAAATCAAAAAACGTCAATGGGTGATGTGGAATCGGCGCGGAAAGTAAAGCGCAATGACACGTGAAGAGCGTTACATAATGTTAATGCATAGTACATTTGCATAGAAAAAATATTATTTGTTATCTGCTGAGGATAGCTAAAAAATATAGCCGAAATGTTCAGAATTTGTTATTTAAATTTTTATCACATTATTAAAAGAATTATCAATCATTGCGCTCCGACTCCATATTGACATTTTTCAATTTTTACTTTAATATATTTAAACTTTCTTAAATTTCTTTTAATAGAAAAAAGATTTATTTCAATAGAAATTTGATATTATTATCAAGATATTTAACAGTGCAAATAAAAAAAATTAAACTAATAATCCCTAACTTTTAAATTTTAGTTAAAAATCACTCCTGACGCATTTCTGCTGTGATCCTTATTTTTCTTTGACTATTGAAAAAAGCAGATAAATGCAGCTGTTGTGTAGTATTGTATAAATCAAAACAATAAGTGACGTAGACAAAATGGTTACATTGTTTTCTTCGTGAGTTTTTTCACGCATGATGGCAAGATATTTATTTTGGTAAAGCCGTTGAAACCATAACGACATTTTGCATCACGAGAACGCGAAGCATTCTGTATATATGAAGAATTATAACTTGAAACTCGTTTGTAAATAGCTGTGCGATGAGCTGTCTTCGAAAACATGTTAAGACATTTATTGCAGGTAAAATACTAATACACGAGAATATCTAGACGCGAAAATTGCATATAAATATTCTCAAAGATAACGTAATATTTTTTTCTAATATTATAAAAAGTTACATTAGAAGTACATTTATATTAAAAGTAAATTTAACTAGTAATTAACATACTAATTAAATTTAACACACATTTTCTTTATATATTTATCACCCGATTTATATATAAATCGTCTCGCATATTTCTGACTTCAAAATGTTTTAACATGATGAAGTGATATGTAAAAAGATTAATTTCTATTTTTATCTTAAATCATATAATAGAATTATTAGTACATTGCATTACAAAGAGAAAGCTCATTGTCACAAGAGAATACTCTTTGAGTACAAACGAAGGAAAAACTAACGATATTAACTAACAAAAGAATAAAATAAAGAATATTTCTCATTACAACAATAATAAGGAATAGAAGAGAGATAAATTTTCCACGGACTTTATCACTTTATTATCTTGCACTAAATTCATTATTTCCTACGTTAGAAGTTACATAATTAACTTTATTATCTCTTATTGAATTATTTATGGGTCAACGAAGTATTGGGATATGTAGATACGATATATAATATGGCATATTACAAAGAGATAAAAGTTGTAAAGTGTAGTGTCTAATAAATGTTTAATGGGTAGCAAATCTAATTTCTAGTACATTGTCTGTCCAACCCGCGCATATACAAACCGCAGTACGTGAGAAGCATAGCTACCTAGAACTGTTCGAACTTCAATTTCTCATTCATCGATCAGGACGTGAAAAGCAGCATTGTAATACTAAACTTGTTTAGTGTTCCAAAATGTTTGTTCCAAGATAATCCACTTTACCTCCGACTACAATTAAATATTGTTATTTGTAAACTTTAACGTTACCGAAGCTCTAAATTCTTTAAACATCTTTAATATGGGAACACTGAATTATTATTATTATATGATGCTTAAAATTGATTGCGTTCTTATCTTTAAGAGTATTTATTGATTTTTTGCTTATAAGAAGAGGATAATGTAATATAAAAAGCAGTAAAGCGCGAAATATTGACATGCAAATCGATAATTCAGTATTTATAAAATACGAACCAAAAATTGGATATTTTATAGCTCCATCGGCAAAACCTTTGGCAAAATTGGATTATTGACTGTTGGCATTGATTGATTGTTAATTCACTTTTATCTTTAATGAGCCGTTATTAATTGATGGATCGCCAATCGGATCGAAAAGTGAATTTGTGGAATACTGATAAACTTAATTATTATAGTTACGATTTCAATATTAATAATCTTTTATGTCATCTCAAAGTAACATATAAACTGCGATATGCGTGCATAAGATTTCGAATTTCATTATTGATCAAACGTTTGTTTTAATTTCATTCTTTACTAATGAAAACATAATGAAAGATTGTGTCGAATTAATCTATATTTTAATTTAATACTTTACACAAAGTTTTTATTTTATGCCAAGTGTAACGAACTATCGGCAAAATTAATCAGTCTGCATACTAAATGCAGAAGAGCATTCTAATTTAAATCATTATTCTATTTTTCTTAATTACTTTAAGGTTCTAGAATAATATTTGTTTATATGTTTATGTTAGGCACAAATAGGACAAATTAGAAATTAGAAAAGTTAAGAGCTACAGTTTCTTATAAAACATAAGTTAATCTAATTACAATTCATTCTCTCCAATCTCCAGTTATTTGACAGTTTGAGTGATTGTTAATTACTATAATCTTTCCGATAACACTTCAAAAGGCAGTTCTTCCTACATCAATTAGTGTTCAT